CCGTTGTTTCATGACTACCTATTTGGATGAAGGAGTAAATAGAAGATTTGAATGTTCAGATCAGGGTTGGGGGTGAGAATCGAAAATTCGTGAAGTTTGAAGCTGCAATGAAATTGAGTAGATGCATGAGCGCACGTGCTTACTTTACTGCGTTTGGTTCCTTGTAAAAGATGTGCCGTCTCTATGACTGTCTCTGATCGCGACTGCCCGTGCCTGGCGGTTGGTAGCAAAGTCCTTGCAGGCGTTGATCCTGTTGGTTTTCCACCAGTAAGTGCCATATGCCATTCGAATACCAAGTTGGTCTGCGTTTTCGAATGCAGTATCCCATCAGGTTTCATTTTCCCCCTTATTGGCTGTTCTGGCTTGGACAAGGACATGGTGATAGAACAGAACCCGTCCAAACGTGGTTTTGCGGAAGACGCATCCAAACCACTAATCTATTATGCTGAATTTGAGTTGACAGGCGGGCAGTGCAGCAGCTGCTTGTAGTGGTCTCATTCGAGATTCTCTCACGACAGTTTATTCTCATGATGTATTGTATTTGTTATCTTCGCCCGTATCTGCGCCATCTCTGTTATCTCCGTATTTGTTTAACTTCCATTTTCTCGAATAAATCCCTTCTCTTATGCTCACAGTGCTCCAATCTGACAGCTGACGTGCAGGGACTCAAAACACAACTGAATGACTTGCATCAGATATGCACTTCAATCCATTCCATGCTGTTACGCCTGCCATCGAATCTCATCCAATCCACACCATTCGTCTGCACACCCAGGACTTCGTCCACACCCATCACTTCTTCCTGCACGACCACCCATTATTCACCTATCCACTCTACTGCCAAAGTGACTACGGAGAATGGCGAATCTTGTCCCCAAAACGCCTGTCCCATTCAACGATCATTAACTTCTTCGAAAGAGCTTATCCCGGTTATGGTTCATGCGATGACATGTGATCATCCTTCGAAGCGTGCAGTGTGGTCATCAACACCCGGTTTCACCCGATCTCAGTCCATGCCGCCGTCCCTGGCTCTGTCAGATCCCCCGATTGAGCATGGTAATTTTTTTCATGTCTGAATTCTCGTCCATTTTTTTAGTAGTTAACACTTCAATGAGTACAGAACTGTTGCTAATTTTCTACTATCGGGTCCAATTCAGTTTTTGAATCCAGGATTAGGCCCTATCTATCGCGCGATAATGAAACTGGAGGCACTAGTTATTTTCCCGGAGATTGTAAGCTACTGTTAGGAATCTATGATCGTCGAAGCTCCTCACTACCGCGTGCGTCTCGTCACCGTGGATGGGTACGCGACCACAGGTGCGGAACGCTGAATAGATGGGCACAGATTACCAGCGGTGACACCGGAGAGTTTTTACTTCGCTTGCGATCTCTGTAGCAAAAGACCATGAATAATTATACGAAGCACTGTGACGTGTGCAGCCATAATCATAATCGTTTCACCTTACAAATAGCACTTTGCTGTGCATGTATGTGTCGTCTCAGAGGTGGTTTAGGGTATGCCACTGTGCCATATTCCGAAAATATTTTGTGGATGCATCCATGAAGCTGATTGGTAACTTGAAAAAAGGATATATTGCACGAAGTGCTTTCTGCGTAATTTATTTTTTCTATGATTTCTCTAGAATACTCATACATAGGATCATAAAACCTGGCTTGTCTATGTATTGTCTCACTACTACTGTCAGCTCGTATACAGATTTACACGGTGACTTAGATTAGCTGATTTTATCCCACACAATGAACCCGGCAGATGCGAAATCTCTCTGACATTCACTAATGGTACTACACCTCAATTCGCTGATTGCACCGAAGATTATTTTATTAGCGTAGTCGCTTTGCCATCAAACCCCAAACAATTTCAGAGGGGTTCGAAAAAAGCACTATGAACGAGTCGATCAGTGATGTTTATTAATTCCATTTCTACTAGACCCATAGCTCACACTACTTCACCTCGTCAGGGGTACGGAAATTCTCTCAAAAGATTGGACAACACCGATTCTACCCCTTATTCAAAAATAAGCAATATATGTATAGGTAGATTACGACAAGCAGTATATAAATCACTGGACAAAATTTCCCTGGAGACACATGATTTGTTTGGCGTTTTATGTCTCTCTTCAGGCATCCGCAACCTGACTACACATATATAATCACACCAAATTTCACGAACCTATGCATATGCGTTCGTGAAACATTGCAGAAAATGAGGGTGCGCTAGGAGAATTCCTTACTCTATAGTTATTTCAATTATCCTGGTACCAGGTGATATCTTCCAGCAATAAATAATGGTAATGGGTCATGTACTCACACACAGTTATGTTCGGAACAAGGCAGTCGATTCCCACTGTCACCAAGAACCGCGTACGGCCACTGCATAATTTCGAACGCAATAATGTGGTTCACTCCGGTTAATTTGATGTGCATTCTTCCGTAATTATGAAACAGATTTTCCCAGTGTGGCAAATCAAATCGTGGTGGTAGGATTCAAACCACTGGGGGATATGCAGATATCCTGTNGTACGGCTGAACCACCGCCATCTGTGTATAAGATTTCCACGTAAGCAAATGCAGAGGATTGAAGTTACCTCTGTTTATGATGTCTGTAAATACTATATGAAACACGGTGTTAAATAACCCATGCTAGTTTATGAATACCACGATCAGTGCCGCTACGAGAAGTCTGTGCTGTTAATTACTCTGTTATTTGGGAACAGCTATAAAATGCTTTTAGTCAACGTCCACCCACTGGCCTGTTAAGTTCACGTTTCAGGTCGATCTGAAGGAGATCGTAGTTTGATTCTTTTCGTATTTGTTTTGATGTCATTTGGGTTTCAACACTTTTTGAAAAGTCCGTAAATCTGATTTTAGCCCTTGAATTTCCAGCACAAATATCATGAATGTACAAAATTTGCTATTCTAGTGTAACTGTACAATCGCATAAACCTATTGTTTCAAGTATAACTATGAAGTTAATTGTATTCACTCAGCCAACCACAAACAGTTTGATGATTTCTTCTGATTCAAAGCGTGCATGGTTGCTCATGTTCAACTAGTGTTGTTTCCTGTTTACACTTGTTCACGTCAATTCCCAACTTTTTCGTGCAACTTATGCGATGCGGCTAATTCTCGTTCTCCAATCGGTCGTTTGTTTCTAAAATTGTATGTATGCTCTTGCAATGTCACGTGCACTCCTACCTCACCGATTATCGATCGATCGGCTCAGGAGTACACTGAATAAATTGATCCTAATTGCGATCAGGTCTGTGGTGTTTCGTTATTTGACGTCACTGTACTGCGTTCTTTCACTGACGCTATTCTCAACTCTTGTCAAATTCTCTGCTCAGCCTTCGTTCACTAACCATCATACTTTTGTACCCTGGTCGCATTGTTTAAGCAGTTTGTTTTACTGTTCTTCGTCTCATCTGCTATCGTGTTTGTTCATATCACAGTAGAAAAGCTCATTGTTTGGTTAACGTTTTACCTGGCGAAAGTATTTCATACTTCCTAGTTCATGGTTTCTATTCTTGTGTGGGCCGTAAATGAAAAGAATTCGGTAGTGAATACCTCAAGGTGTGCTATAGGTCTGTTTGTGATGTGCACTGGTTGTGGCAACCGGTTAGCGATTTCTGTATGTTACTTTGTCGTTCACAGACTTTCATCGCCCATCGTGTTTTCATCCTCCTCGGTGCGAGACTTTTCCGGATACGTTCACCAAAGAGACCTTGGTTTTTTGTTTGGCGATTGACTCCTTACGGGAACGTAACCACCAAAGTTACTTCTGCGATCCAGCAGATCAGTTCAGACATACAGATTAGGCACTGAACGGCCCATTGGTTTGCAGTTACGGTCAGAATTATTAGAAAAGTAAAAACATCCTGACGTCGGTAAAGAAATGTTGGATTCTTTAAGTTGTCGGCTTTATTTTCGTTCAGACACTTTCTTCTCATATGGTGAATTTGATTGTGTACGCAACGTGAACCGAAGAACTATGGAAGTAGCTGTTTCATCCCGTTTGGGATTTTAACATTTGCACCAAAACAATTCGATGGTCCTTTTGGTTAGATACTTTTTCATTTTTACTTCCTTCTATTGAATATGTAATGATATGACTTTCAGGAAGGGGTGGGTAAGCAGCCAATCAAAGGGATGCCATACAACATATAATGGGGGAAGTCAGGTGGTGCTGGTGGAATTCGAACCAACGTCCTTCGGGGTGATAATTTGGTGACGTGACTGACGAGCCACCATCGCCAAATAGTCTGTCTCGCGGGAGCGATGGAATTAGACCAGTGACCCACTCAGCTGAGCGTAATGTTATTAGCTGTCTCGATCCAGGTAGCTATAAATAAACAATAAACTGAACTACCATATGAACTTTTTCTGACCTCTGGTACAAGTTACGTCGTCAGTAGTTTCTGTCATGGTTGATCCCCAAATCATGGTCGTTTGTACCGAAACACCTACCAAAATGAGATCAACCTCAAAAATGATGGGAATTGATGAGTAGAACAACGCTAATCCTGATTGCATTGGGATAGTGAACGTTCCGTAAAGTATCGAACAAGCGATTGTACAAACTCTTGTGCTTGATGATTCGGCATTAGTGGTAAGGGCGTGAAATTGCTGCGGAAACTTAACGGTTATCGCAAACCATTGCTATATGGATTTTGGTGGCGAAATCCTTGTGATTGAGAGCAGACGACGTTAGCATTGAGCCTTGCAGAGGATCAGGCTTCATTTTCATTGGACAAATTAGGTGCTGTGTTATGTATGTTCATTTCTCATCTCTTAGATCTAAGTATGAAGGTGTTTTTCAGAGAGTTTGCATTGCCTCGCGTCTCAGTCTTAGTGAATACGGCTAATATAGTCATTGTTTTGGTTACGTCTCACCCGATTACGTGATGCCATTGACTATCATTTGGTGTATTCTATTGATTGCGTTATCGAAATCCACGGGGACATGCTTTTCCGTAAATCCTATGCTAGATGGCTCGTCATCGCCCACAGCCAACGAGATGTCCAGCTTCGCAGGGAAGGATCTCATAGTGGCTCCTACCAGGCGTTCTTCCACCTATCCATCCTATCCTCCACAAAAACGGCGCCGCGGATCTGCCAGTTCTGTTCTATGTCAAGCCACCGGTGATGACTGCTTTTTCGGAGATTCCCATCCTTCCGTTTCGGCCACATGCTGTGAACCGCATTCAGACACTTCCCAAGTTGTGGACAGTGAACAATTCCTTGTGCAACAATCTAATGACCCTGTGATGGTCAACCAGAACACAGCATTTGCAAAAGGTGTGGATATAAACGACAATATTGGTTGCAAAGCATCTTCAAAACGAAATCAGCCTCCGCAATGCACTACTAATGAGTCTGAGGTTTGTTCCAATTCATTCATTTCTTTTTTTCTATTTGGCCTCTGCTTCTTTCAGTTTTCACTCACTATTCATTTGCCATTTTTAGGTAGTGCGGTAGTCTGATTTGCCTAGCGTGACCACAAAAAGTGTTTACCTTGTGTTCTGATAGGGAATTTACTAGTTTTTTAAACTAATCCTTCGCTCTTAACTTCACCGAATGCCTACACTTTTCTTTCTGAAGTATACCGTTTGCAGATTCAGCTGATCGATCCGGTCGATTCCCAAAATGTTCCACTCACTGTTCCGGTTGACGTGTCTGAAAGTAAATTTGTGTCACCTGACTTCGATATTTTCTCCTTTGCACATAATTTTCGCTGAACAGTACGAATGATCATACGGAATCGATTGCGACTATGGTCATTTGACACAGTACTTATCAATCTTCTTGACATTGGTCATTCTCTATTGCTTGCTGTCACTTTTCCAGCCTACGATCACCCACATGACATTCACGGGGGTCAGTTTTTTTGCTAAATGAAGTGATATTTGTCTTCAGTTTTAAACGGGTCAGTTGAACAGTTGTGAAGCTCACTGCATGTAGCTCCATTGGTTTCATAATCATTTCGCTAGATGCGGTTTCCTCACTTGTGCACAAAATTAGTCTTTGAATGCGAAATCTGTACGATGATTTTTTTTCCATATCCGTAAACTTCGTCAGTTTCGAATTCAACAGTGGATCACCTCCAAATTCGTGTACCAGTGTGTTATCCCCGTTTTACCTTGTGTTTCACCTGTTGTTTTTTCTATTCGCTTAAAGAGGAACTTTTTTGCCGCTTCGACGTGTCCTGATCAACATTAACCATGGTTGTTCAATCCCGCTGGAAGAATTAATCTATTTGAACGTCATCCGCATGCATGAAAAAGTTTGTACATAAGGTTCTCATGTATCCCTTTCCTTCTCTGCATACAGATTTCCTGTGGTACCCATTCTTCTATAAGATCCCAATATCACGTATAAACATACACCTTAACTCTACGGTACCCTCTTTACCCTGTATTCGTCAATGAAAAAACACTTTTCAGACTTTCTTACTATGTATACTTTTGACGGAAATGTGCGCACTACGCTTACGGAAGTCATAATTGCAATGACAATAGAGCCTGAAGCCTACCCACTGGTGTCACTCAGAATCATCGTTTCATCCTCTGATTATCTACGGAAAATGTGATATTTTTTTCATATGAATCAAATTTTTGGTTTTCAGAATTCTGTCTTATTTTCAACGAAAATCATTTTTGTTTGCAACTTCATGTGATCTACTGGCTTCCCATCCCGTTGCGTTCCTCGGTGTTTCAGGCTGGTTTGTCCCGCTCAACCAATGATCTTCCGACAACAATTTTATCCCGGACAGCTAATGCCAGTGAGAATCCAACGGGTATGAGTTCGAATAATGTATCCCTTCTCATTCCTCCTTTGGGCTTAGCAGCACATTCATCTGCAGGCGAACTTCCTGGATTTGTAAGTTCCGTAGTTTTAAATTCGTTTTCTTTTTTCACTCATTTGGTATCATATCGCAGTTGAACATTTTTTCTAGCTGTGAATAACCAAATTTTTTTCAGCTGTTTCCATCTGTTTCTGAAATTAACAAACTGACCGTTATTTGTCTCAGAGAAATGCTATCCTATCCGTGTCTTTGTTTGTTGTCAACATGGACTACTTCACAGCTCAATTTTCTCCTGACCCAATCGTGCAACGGATTGAGTCCAACACAACCGGCGGTGCGTTCGTCGAACGATACCAGATCACAAGTGAGCAATCCAGTAAGCGAATCGTCCAACGATTGCACCAACACACCACCTCTTCAGATAGACATGGCAGAAAAATCCGACTCCCCTGTTACTGTCACTACTAGTGTTACCGATTCCACATCTCAATCAGACACCGCGAAATTCGTACCAAACGTCGTACCTCAGCTGTCATGCAACCCGCTGGATCCATTGGGCCAGACGCTGTTACTTTTGGCCCGTACGGTTGCTCCACCTTATCAGTCTGTTCTCAATTCAGGCGTGGAGAAGGATCCACTTCATGTTGCCGCTGGTAAGCGTTTTGCATGTAATCTGCATTCTCTCCTTTCACGTGGACGCACTGAGTTCACTTTACTCGCATACTTCTGGTAGCGTAAGGGTCTACGGCGATCTGAGTAGGCCCTTAGTAACGAGCAGCGATGTTCATAGAGTGCTCTTTTTTGCCGTTCCTGTTCCATTTCGTCATAGACGAAATACTAGATGTCACACGCAGTGGTCTCCAAAATGTAGGTATTGAGTGGGCGGTTGGATAAAAGCTGTGCGATTTAGAGTATGCTGATGACATCGTTTGCCTTTTCGAATCTGTGGAGGATGCGCAAAGAGTTCTTGACAGATTAGCAAGTTCTGTCGCTCCGTTCGGCATGTGCTTTGCACCTTCAAAGTGCAAAGTGATGCTACTAGACTGGGTATCGCCGGGTTCCGTTCTGAAACTAGACGGTCAGGAATTAGCTGTAGTTGACTGCTTCTCGTACTTAGGTAGCTGCGTGACCAATGACGGTAGCGCATCAAAGGAGATAACTGCTCGCATTTCAAAGGCTCGAGCAGCGTACGCACGACATAAACACCTGTGGCGGCGACGTGACGTTTCATTGAAGCAAACAAAAATCGCGTATACTGCGTCACTGTACAATCAGTTCTGCTTTATGGTTGTGAGACCTTGAATTTGCGGGTAGAAGACATCCGTCGCCTAGTGGTTTTTGACAATTGATGCTTACGTAGTCTGGCCCAAGTGGGATAGAGTAAACGGATTAGTAACTTAGAAGTTAATCGTCGGGTGTTTGGGAATGCATTGAACACGAACTCGCTAGCGCATCGAATTGAGCTCAGTAGGCTTCGTTGGTTAGGATACGTCTTGCATGTGTCTGACGGTCGCCTACCGCAGCGATCCTTGTCCGCAGTGGCTGTTGCAGACTGGAGAAAGCCACGTGGAGGACAGCAGATGACGTGGAGACGAGGCATGCAGAAATGCACGGAGCGATTAGGTAAAGTAANAATAGTCCCGTCCGGTCTTTGACTAATAACAATATCTATAAGTGGAAGTGTGTCGTCCTCCTCGGTTTCCATGGTGAATCGTATGTCCTTTGAAGTGAATTCAATTAAGCTAACAGCTCCTTAGTCTCCCATGGTTTGTTTGGCACACAGTCTGAACTCAGACGTGTGTCATATATATATACATATATATATATATATACATATATATATATATATATAT